ATTGGAGAGTTAGAGCTGTTGGGGGAGGCCGAACAGGCTGGGGCTGTTTTCCTCGCAGTGTCAGAGGCTGAGGGGTGACCTTCTTGTGGTTTATAAAATCATGAGGGGCATAGATAGGATGGTTAGCCAAGGTCTTTTCCCTGGAGTAGAGGGGAGTCCAAAATTAGAGGGCATAAGTTTTTAAGGTGAGAGGGGAAAGATTTAAAAGGGTCCGGAGTGGCAACTTATTCACACAGGGTAGTGTGTACATGGAACAAGCTGCCAGAGGAAGTGGTAGAGGCTGGCACAGCTGCGACATTTAAAATGCACCTGGATGGGTATATGAATAGAAAAGGTTTAGAGTGATATGGGCCAAATACTGGCAAATGGGACTATTATCAGTTCAGAATATCTGGTCGGTACAAATGAGTTGGACCAAAGGATCTGTTTCCATGCCGTATAACTCTTTGCTTATGAAAAGACCACTCACATTAGACTTGGTCGTTCTCTGTAACTGTAACACTCTTCTGTATTCTGTTCTGTTACCCTGATGTACTTACATCAGGGTATGATTTGTCTGGTTAGCATATAAAATGCGACTTTTCATAGTCTCAGTACACATGACAATAATAATTCAAAAAGTAGGGATGGGCAATAAATGCTTGTCTCGCCCAAATACCATTTATAAAAACTTTTGTTTTAAATTGTTGTTTACTGTCGAGGTGCTTGCATGACTTGAAACATGTTGAGGGATTTTGGATTGTGATGCTTATCTTGCATTGATTATATACCTGTGCGTCATTCATCTCTTTCGCTAAGCGCAATTGGAACTGCCAAGTGACTGGGGTCAATACAAGTAACCAGTAAAACATATGGCTCCCTGCTAATCCTTGAACCAGCCAAGTCGTGTATGTAAACTGTAGGTAAAGAATGCATGTCATTACTTGTCTGTCTATTCTTGCTTGCAGTCTGTTGTCATTGAGTTGCTATTCCTTTTGTTCTTGCATCCAGCTGGATTTTTTTTTTAGCTGCCTTTGTACGCTTTTAGGAAAAAAACAAAGAACGACAGATTCTGGAAATCAGAAACAACAACAGAAATTCTTGTTAAAATTCATCAGGTGGGGCAACATCTGTGGAGAGAAATCAGAGTTAATATTTCGGGTGCAGGGAAGTGTTCTGAAGAAGGGTCAGTGGACCCAAAATGTTAACTCATTTCTCTCCACAAATGCTGCCAGAGCTGCAGAGATTTTCCAGCAATTTCTTTTTTTGATTCAAACTGCTTATGTTCTTTGACTTTGCACCATTTTAAAGCTCTGAAAGCTGCTGTATAAAAAGGACTTGATTTCTGTGCAGCACCTTTCACAGCTCCCAGATGCCCTGAAGCACTTGACAGCCAATGAAGTTTGTTTGAATTGTAGTTATTGTTGGAATGCAGGAAATGTGGAAGCCAATTTGGACTAACAAATAGCAAACTGATAATCCCCAGATAGTATGTTTTTATAGATGTTAATTGAGGGATGAACATTAGCCAGGATATCGAGGCAAATTCCACTGCACCAAAGATTGTCTTAAATAATCCATGACAAGATTCCAATGTCTGCTCAAGAAGGTGGGTGTGTCCTCACTTTAAGATAATGTCTCAAAGATTTTCCCCTTCAAGTCCTCCACTTAGTCAGTGCATTGCACAACATGATACCTTCAATTTTGTGCTCAAGGTCAGGAGTGGGGCTTGAGGTCTTAAACATCTGACTTGATACTCTTACCTCCTGGTCTACCAGCTGACAACTTAATAATTGGGTTATGTTCTGAAAGCAATTTTATGATAGTTTTTGGTGTTTATAAATGCGTTCTATTTTGTTGCCATCAAGATACAAGCAATGATCCCTCTGAGCATTTTGAAATTCTTGCCTGGACCTGTTACCGACTAAATCATAATTGAATATTTGGAGCAAGATGTTTTGTAAATAACACCTTTTATTAGAACAACAGCAAATAATGGGTTTTCCAAGTTGTGGCACTCATGTTCAGAAAGTTATTTGTATGATCTCCTTACGGACTGTATTGTCAGAAAAATATTCATGTTTGTGCACATTTCAGGTAGGGTAGGTTGCGACCTTAAAATATTTTGGGATATGTTTTAACATTGATTTGCAGAAAGATGGTCATATTTTACACCAAAAGGAGTGACTTGTGCTCTGAGTGTCACTTGGAATTCTATTCCAATGACGCCAGTGTGTGACTGCAAGGATTCAAGAACTGCATCTTTTCAGGGCTGAGGAATTGCTGGCTCCAAGGTAGCATCTGTTTTGAAGCAGTTTTATTTAATGCAAGAATTTGTCCAAATAATGTTTTGTGCAGTTGCGCTTGAGCAGTTTGTTCCTGTACCAAATATGCAATGTTTTCTGTAAGAAACCAGTCGAGTTTAGTTGTGTAGTTCTTGGAATCGCACTTCTCCCAACATTTTATCTGTGTTACCTGTGATCTTATTTACATAACAGCAGTCTTTTGAAATGCTTGAAGCCCTTATGTATTTTCATGGTTCAACTGGTAAGATGCGCTGACAATCATGCTCCACTATTCCACAAGCCAATTTTCAAGTGACAAAATTGCTGAGCTGACTTGTAATTTCTAGCTAATAAATCCAAAAGAGCAAAATATATGGTGCCTTGCAGTATATTCACTGCACACTACCTGGAAATCACGTGACACTCATGAAAACCATTGTACTTGAGCTTGCATCCCACTAAAATGTTGTCTGGTGTGCTTCTCTACAGTTTAGCTTTCAAGGCACTGCTCTTATGATTCCAGTGTTGCCTCTGACTGAAGGAAATACATGTTTTGCAATGCTTTCTTCTCTCAGCCCATGAACTTCTTTAACACTGTCCCTTTATAACAGATTTTGAAAGCATGCCATTACTTGTCACATATACCAAATGATGTTGAAGTTGTCTTGACTCCATCCTTGTTGCTACATGATAAAACTCATTACAGCCAATCAGATGTTAAATCTTTATATCAATTTCATCTGAAGCCATCCCACTGGCTGCTGCCAGCCTTTTGTAATGCTGAGGAGGTTGAGCTGTCAACACCCTCAACGGCTTTCAGTCTTAGCCCAGTGTGTGACCTTGGCCATTCTTATTCACTGCCTTAACATGGTGGACTATGGACTAGGTTAGCAATGTGAAACTGACTCACCTAATTGGCACCTAACTTTTTACTGTGATCTTCTTTCTATTGAAGTTCACAGACAAGTAGTTTGATTCTTTTTGCAAAAGAAAAGCTCATTAACAGCTTTTCATTCGCTTGAAATTCAAAATCTTCGCAATATTTACAAGTCAATGGAAAATAAAAACTGGTACGGTGCAAAAACAGCTACTGATTCACTATAGGTCCATTATGCTCTCTGCTGTCATAGATAAATTTCATTCCCTCAGTCATTTGCCAGAACTGCTCTTGTCGTGTCCGTGAAATATTTGCCTCTCTGCTGTCAAAACTCTCTCCGCCTAATTCATTTATTTTTAACCTTTCTGTTTTTTCTGAGCACTGCTGGCAAAGTCCGCACGGTTGCCAATCGTTCACTGAAGTTAGTTTCCTAGTTCTCTTACACGTAATCTCCCAACTATTTCAGTGAACTTGTATGATTTCCTGAGATAGTAGGAACTGCAGATGCTGGAGAATCCGAGACAACAAGGTGCAGAGCTGGATGAACACAGCAGGCCAAGCAGCATCATAGGAGCAAAAAGGCTGACGTTTCAGGCCTAGACCCTTCATCAGAAATGGGGGAGGGGAAGGGGGGGTCTGAAATAAATAGGGAGAGAGTGGGAGGCGGAAAGAAGATGGATAGAGGAGAAGATGGGTGGAGAGGAAACAGACAGGTCGAAGAGGCAGGGATGGAGCCAGTAAAGGTGAGTGTAGGTGGGGAGTTAGAGAGGGGATAGGTCAGTCAAGGGGACGGGATGAGGTTAGTCGGTAGGAGATGGGGGTGCGGCTTGAGGTGGGCGGAGGGGATAGGTGGGAGGAAGGACAGGTTAGGGAGGCGGGGACGAGCTGGGCTGGTTTTGGGATGCGGTAGGGGGAGGGGAGATTTTGAAGCTTGTGAAATCCACATTGATACCAATGGGCTGCAGGGTTCCCAAGCGGAATATGAGTTGCTGTTCCTGCGACCTTTTGGGTGGCATCGTTGTGGCACTGCAGGAGGCCCAGGATGGACATGTCGTCTGACGAATGGGAGGGGGAGTTGAAATGGTTCGCGACTGGGAGGTGCAGTTGTTTATTGCAAACCGAGCGTAGGTGTTCTGCAAAGCGGTCCCCGAACCTCTGCTTGGTTTCCCTGGACTGACCTATCCCCTCTCTAACTCCCCACCTACACTCACCTTTACTGGCTCCATCCCCGCCTCTTCGACCTGTCTGTTTCCTCTCCACCTATCTTCTCCTCTATCCATCTTCTATCCGCCTCCCCCTTTCTCCCTTATTTATTTCAGAACCCCCTTCCCCTCCCGCCTTTCTGATGAAGGTTCTAGGCCCGAAACGTCAGCCTTTTTGCTCCTATGATGCTGCTTGGCCTGCTGTGTTCATCCAGCTCTGCACCTTGTTGTCTTGTATGATTTCCTGCTCTCTCCTCTTTTGAGCTGCTGAAGGTTGGCATGCTCCACCCGCCTCGAGTTATCAATTGCCATTTTTAACCACCTGTTTGAAGAACTGATTCCTACTCCTGCCCTGTCCTTCTGAAGGAAAATTATTATTTCCTGACTGCATCTTGTTTTCCTTTAAATTCTGCCTCATCTCCACATTGACGGTATTTCACTGCACTTCATTTCCGTTTTCTTGCTTGCCATTCATTTTTTAAAGATAATTTGGAGGCCTATATGTGAAAATATTTGAAAATTCATTCTTTTTGGCAAAGGTGGATACATTTATTGAAGCTGCATGACCTGCTTTCGCCCTGAACTGTAGTCCAGAGTTACTTTTGGAGAAAACCCTCACTTGGTTTTACATGTACGATGATTGTTACAATTGGCCAGTGGACTGTTATTTCTCCTGTTAATCTGAAGAAGTTGAGTCGGAACAATCTCAACATATTGGAGACAAATTCCATTCAGATTAAGTTAGAAAGTAGTATCAGTGCTGCTGTCCCTCATGGTAATTTTGTTGGACACGTTCCTCTTCCATTTTAAACCTTGTCATTTGGGGGTCAGTCAGCTTAGTTGGCTGGATGGTTGGCTTATGATGCAGTGTGATGCCAACAGCATGGATTCAATTCCTGCACCGACTCAGGTTACCATAAAGGTCTCTTTCTTGACCTCTCCCTTAGTCTGACCCACAAGTTAAACCAACACCACTTGTCTCTGTCTAATGAGAGAGCACCCCTACGGTCGAGTAAGACTATGGTGACTTCACCTTTGCCTTTTCAGTGTGTATTGTCCACTATTTTTAGTCATGCATGTGAAATGCTCCTTAGATGGTTGCATTTCTCTTCGTACAGCATTCTTTTTGCTAGCTCAGCTGCATAAAAACATCTTTTTTTATATTAAAAAGAAGTTACCCTTTTGCCATTACTTAGACAACAAGATAGTAATATCCAACTTCACAACTTGCTAAATCATTGCTGAAAGTGATCAAAGAGCAGGAAACCAGCAGTTGACGCTGCTTTCACTGAACCTTGTTACTAACTCCAGTGGTGAATGGATATTTAATGAGACCTGATTGGGAAACAAACTTAACTGTGCAGAAACATATGGAAGCTGTTGTTTTGCAATTCTGAGTAATTAGTTCTTGTGCTACGCTGACCTAAGTTTGTGCCTGATTTTCTGTTCCTAATTGTGTATCTTGTTTGTTTCTTCTGTGTTATTGATCTTTTGCATAAATAAGGTGGTAGATTTTTGTACGTTGAATTGCCGATATAACCAGCTTTCTACTGCAACTCCTCAAGGACTGGAAAGATCTATCCCATTGGATTAAACTGGAGGCCGTTTACATTTTAAGCCCTAATTTAGTTGCCTCCTACACGTCATCTGTTATTTGTCTATTGCTGCTTCCACACTAACTACATTAAGCAGAGAACAGGGTTATTTTCAGTTTACCTGAATGATGGGATTGAACACAGACTTGTCAAAGGAGAACAACAGAAAAGGAAACTAACTTGCACACCACTTGCATTTAACTCAACTCCATCTACCTGCCTTTTCACTGTTTTCCCATCCATTTTACTTCCCACAATATTATTTAGTTGCTTTTTAACACGTTTATTCTGTTTTATTCAGTGGTCTTCCTTTGTAACTTCTTCAATATAAGATTTTCAAAGTTTAAAGATATATGTTCTGCATTCCAAGCTCGGAAATCATGACGTGGTGCATGTCCTGTATTTTTCAGGGGAATTTTGGCAATGCACTTGTACATTTTATGATTAAGTGCTATACCTAAGTAGTTGGCATCTATTGGCATCAAATCTGTGGCCAGTGTTTCTTTAAGCTGTGCTGGCATGCAGCACCTTTGAAGTTCCAGCACGGGTTGTGTAGACATCAGCTTCTTTAAATTACCATCGAACTTAAAGGGACTGCGCGTAATCCACTGGCTGCTTGCTGTTGTGTATTGACTATGTAAGGATGATACCAGGAAGTGTGGTGAGATAGGTGAGGTCACTGTAAAGTTAGTTTGCCTCCATGATGAATTTCACGGTAGAAAATTAGCATCAAAAATGGACTCGGTAATCTAGTACTTGAGCCCAACTAGTGGAATAATATTGCTACCCTTTGATTATTGAATGATTTGCCCTATGTTTTACCATCAGTAGGCACTGTTAATGATCAGCCATAACGTTGATTATTAATGGCATATGCAGGGCTACACCAGACGCTGAGGCCTGAAATTCTTGCTATTCAGCATGACTCATCAATAGTCTTAATAGTCTCATGGTAGAGTGAATGGGCAGACAAAAGTAAGCTCGTAGCTTTGAGCTCATGAAATACCCTGCTTAGTTTTCAGCACCCTGCACTATTTTGGGAGTCTGTCAATATTGTCTGTTGGCAACTACATCCAAGCGTTCTAAACTTGAGTGAGTTGAATGTCTCCAAATGTAAAGGGAAGAGGAATGAAGTCAAACGAATAAGAAGGAATTACTGGTTCTGCACAAAAAAACAGTTTGTTTTTGTGAAACAAAAATTTCAGTTTGGAGGGTCACTGGACCCGAAACATTAACTGTGATTTTTCTCCATGGATGCTGACAGACCTGCTGAGCTTTTCCAGCAATTTTTTTGTTTGATTTCCAGCATCCACAGTTGTTTCAATTCCTATTTTTCTGGGTTTGTTTTGGAAACCCTGGGGTGTATTTTTGCAACCGTTGACTAACTCAGTAGTGGAGAGGTTTGCTAGTCCCCTGGATTTTCAGTTGCATCGTCCGTTTATGTTGATGAACAAAGCTGTTACCTCCATTTTAACACATGAATTGAGAAAGATCTATTTTTTTTTCTTGACTTCAGTTATGGTATACAGGGTTTGCTTACCACTGCTCTAGATGATTTCAGGAGTTTTGCTGCCTTTAACCTAATATGTTTGTTTGTTTCTTCTAAACTTAAAAAGCCCAGTATCTTGTTTAAATTCAAGAGCCAGTTCTTTGTGCTATGGCACAGTATTGGGGCAGTTTGTTATGTTATTGTGTCATCTCCAATAGATCAAAAAATGTACTTTTACCCAAGTCACATACAGGTTAATTATCACTGTTTTTGTTTGATCGTTGTTGATATTTATTTTGTTAATCACTGGCCTTATTTGATTGGACATCCTGCTTCATAATTACAAAAAATAAAATTTGTAAAGACTTTTGAGAGGAAATAAACTAAAATTTTATAATATACTTTCCTGATGTACTCCAGGAGTAGGACAAGAACTGAAGAATGGAAGCAAAATGCAGTGTGTGCTGGAAATCTGAAATAAAAACAGCAAACTTCAGAGGAATTCAGCAGACTTGGCAACATGTGTGAAGAGAGAAACAGAATGCTGCCAGATTTGCTGAGTTTCTTGAGCATTTTCTGTTTGCCGATCTTCAGATATACAGTGTTGGCTTGCAGGAGTACTTCCATAAGAAGTCTGAAAGTTTCTTCTCCAGAAGTGGATTCAAAGTGTCAAAAAGGTTTTTGCCGAGCTACTGTTCATTTCATCATTAAATAATTAGACTTCTTCATGCAGAAGATATTGCAAGTACCACCAGTGCCTCCTTACAAATCCCAACACTACTTTTAGAAAATGTGTTTGGGAGTTACTTGTCAACTGTGCAATCCTATGAGTACACCATATTTTTATCAGAACCATTTATTTTAATATTTTAACATATTAAACTGATGAGTTGCATTGAACATATGAGTGCACAAGGATAGAAGTGTTTTTCCAAGTGACTGACTGACTGCAGTAAGTCAAGTGTGTCACAGAAATTGTTGAAAAAAACCTAGCACATCAGGCAGTGTCTGGTGCCAGAGTACAGATCAATTGGACTTTTGGGAAATGAACTCTTTTTCAGACATTAGAGTCCTCATGTTAGAAATGAGCAGCATTTAAAAGAACAGGGCAGGGGTTACACAAAGCTTTCTTTCACTTTTGAATGCAGTCATTCTCCATTGACCACACTAGCCCGTACATAGACTTAAGGGCATCCCACTTGTTCCAAGATACATCACACTGATTTACCTGTTGTATTTGTTACAACACTTGAGAAGGCAAACCACTGTAGAGCATTTTCTAATCAAAATATGTTTATGCTTATCCTCCCGATTTAAAGTTTGTGAAAAGAGAACATTGGAATCTTTTGCCATCTGCTAATATTTTTAACCAGACTCCAGGCAGTGATCATGGAATATTTTCAGTGTGGATGTAGATAGACTCTTGTTGAAGGTATTAAATTATTGGGAATGTGGAATTTGAAACATAAACAGATAGTCGTGATCTTATTGAATGGTCTACTTCTGCCCCTATTTTATCTGCTCAAAGACCGAGTTAATCACAAGATGGGACTGGAGCGTCGTTCAGATCTTGCCTCTGAAAGCATTTTGGAATTTTTGTAAATATTTGGTTTGAAATAAATCATTCTTTTGAATTTTTGCACCCTTCAGTTCCAATGACAGGTTTCACTCAGCGGGCTACAATTGATCCAGAATTGAATGAGATTCACGTCCTGTCGGGTCTCAGTAAAGATAAAGACAAGCGGGAAGAGAACGTTCGGAATTCTTTTTGGATTTATGACATCGCCCGGAATAATTGGTAAGTGCTGAAGCATAAAAAGATTACCGGTAGTGCGAACTACAAGCTCTTTCACGTTACCTGGCACTTTTTTTTTGTTTTGCTCTTGTGATAATAACTGTGGCTTTCAGAGGTGTGTTTTTCCTGTTTTTTTATTAAATTTCTAAATGAAGAAAGGTTGACACCTGAGGTACTGATCAGTCTGCTTCAAAGCCCATAAAATAAACAACTTGGCAGGCCTTGGAGTTTTTTCCCTAAGATTGGAACATCGCAGCCTGAAGGGGTGGGGTCAAGCTCTCCCAGAGCCAGGATTTTTGATTCTCGTTTCTCGGTAGAAGTTGCTTGGGTCTCGAAGCTGGGTTCATAAGCTGCACTACATTTCTCCCTGCTACACTGAGTTTTGTCTTGGTTTTTTTCCTCCTGAACTAGGGAGTTGCCTGCGAGGGAATCAATTTTGCTGACTTTGCCTTTGCTGGAGTGTGTTTACGGCATGCTACTATATTGGAATAGTTACTGTTTAGTATTAAATTATCCACTATTCTGTTGAGTCTTCCAGTACAGTTACGTTATCCCAATTTCTTCTTTCTTTTGTATTTTAACCTTAGTGTATGAATAAAGTGTGTTTTCCTTCATATCTGGTAGCTTTTGGCCAATCGAATTGCATCTAGAACGCATCATCTGGCACTTGCCTTTAAAATAAGAAAAAGTTGGCAGCTTGGCTATCTTCTTATATTTTGAGGGGGTTTGGTCTGGTCTGTAACACGCTTCTACATTGCTTGTTTTCTGAAGGCCTTCAGAGCCTGTAAATATTACTGTAGAATTGTAGACTAATATAGCACAAGAAGAAACCATTCAGCCCACTGTGTGCTGACTTTTCTACTGAATGTTAAAGGAAGAAATCAAATCTGCACTACACGACTTTGGATTTTCGTTTCCTTTTCCACCAACTTTTGTGTACTTGAATGTCAGATAAACGCAGTGGCGACAGGCAGGTCAGAGGGTAGGAGTACTATGGAGAATAATTCACCTCCTGACTCCCAAATGCCTATCCGCCATCTACATGGCACAAGTCAGGAGTGTGATGGAAAACTCCCCATTTGCCGAGATGAGTGCAGCTCCAACGACACACAATCCAGGACAAAGCAGCCTGCTTGATTGGCACTACATCCATAGCATCCACTCCCTCCACCACTGATGCTCAGTTGCAGCAGTGTGTAGGATTGACAAGTTGCACTGCAGAGATTCATCGAAGATCCTCAGACAGCGTCTTCCAAACCTACAACCACTTCCATCTACAAGAAGAAGGGCAGCAGACATATGGGACCACCACAACCTTCAAGTTCCCCTCCAAGCCACTCACCATCCTGATTTGGAAATATGTAATCGTTCCTTCGCTGATGCTGGGTCAAAATGCTGGCATTCCCTCACTAATGGCATTGTGGGTCAACCCACAGCGGGTGGACTGTAGCAGTTCAAGAAGGCAGCTCACCACCACCTTCTCAAGGGCAACCAGGGATGGGCAAGAAATGCTGGACGGCCAGCGATGCCCTCATCCCCCAAAATCAATAAATACTTTTTAAAAACAGACATTTCCCTTTCAGTTCCCAAGATAGTGTGAGCAACTGCATCTTTTGTTATCTAAGGTTACTCCTTTCTACATGATGAATGAGCAGTTTTAACTGTCCTTCGTATGACTTTTGCCTGATTTACCTTTGCTCAGTATGTTCTTGTGTTTGTCCTCTATGATGCTGGAAAGTGTTATTAACTTAATGGCATCAGAACAAAAACAATTTGCTTCCACAACTGGAAAGTTTGAAATGTTAGTCATGTCATTCCATGGTACTTCGTGTATCGCATTTTCATTTTATTTTAACCTCTAAAATTAGTACCTTTTATGGGAGTTTGAGTCTGTTTAGCTATCTTCATTGTATAAATGTGGCAAACAACAACACCGAAGGGGGTGAACTATAGAAGAAACAAAGAAGCATTTTACTTAGGTGCAAGTGTCTGACTTTTGCCTCATGTTGCCTTTCGATTATATCATTAAAACTGACAATTGCATCAAATAGGAAATATCCCACATTCTCTGATCAGGAACTGAATGTCTGAAAATATGGCAGAGGCAGAAATCCTGTTCACGTTCAAATATACTTGACTGTGTACTTGAAGTGCCATAACTGTAAACACGATTGACCAAGAATTGCAAAATGGGATTGTCAGGTTTTTGTTTTTGTTTTGCTTGGCTGGAAATAGTAGACTGGATGAACAAAAACAGAAGTTGCTGGAAAAGCTCAGCAGGTCTGGCAGCATCTGTGAAGAAAAAAAATCAGTTAACATTTCTGGTGCGGTCCTTTCCTCAGGACTGAATGGCCACGTTCTGTGTCGTAAATTGGATGTGTTTCTACCAAACATTGGTACTGTATTTTAGAATGAAGAACGAAGAAGGTAGATAGAAAGTCTTTCCACTAATTGAAAGTTGTCTTTTTTTAAAAAAAAAAGCACGTGGCATTTGATGCTAGAGCAATAGGGAAACCCTGGGATGAGAAAAATGTAAAGTAAAATTAAGGGATTTGGGGCACAGATGAGTATGTGGAGCTACATGTGACCTTGAATAGCAGAACAGACTTGACCTAGATGTTTTTTTCCCTTGACGCTACATTATTGTAATGACTTTCTTTATTGTTGCGTAGGTCTTGTGTGTATAAAAATGATCAATCTGTAAAAGATAATCCGAATAAGAGTCTTCAAGAAGAGGAGCCATGCCCGCGATTTGCTCACCAGCTTGTCTATGATGATATGCATAAGGTATCTTTACATTTTTGGTTCTCATTCAGTCTTGTATTTATTTTTTCTTTTCCAAGTTTAACATCATCTACTCCCAGAACATTTGCCTCAAGAGAACAGTTAGATCAACTGAAAGCAACTATTACTACTTTGAGTAAAGAACAAGCTGACTTGTGTCCTGTCATCAAAACCTTATTAGAAATGGGAGAAAAGCACACTCGACCCAATAAATGCCTTTCCTCGTAGAAAGGGTCCTGAGGAAAATGTTCCTTTTTTCATATTTCCACTCCTATTTTGAGGGTGTGTGATAAAAATGACTAAATGACTAAATAAAAATCAGAAACAAAAACAGAAGTTGCTGGAAAAGCTCTGTTTAACATTTGGGGTCTTTGCACTGTTCAAGTACTGCTAGTTGAGCAATATTTTTTGTTTAGGCGTGTTTTTGGAATATGAAAGACTTACGGTGCTTTTCTTGATTTAAATTTTTCTTCAAAATTCTGTTTTTAGCCGTAGCTTAATTGCTACTGTTTTTTTTTTGTTGAAAAAGCATTTCTGTTACTTTCCTGCCATCTTAGTCACCCCCAAACAAAAATCATCAAAATAATTTTGAAATGCTGTTGGTGCGTCTCTGTTTGCCCTGCATCCACAAATATGGAAATCCTGGGTCGAACCTCCACGGACTTATTTTCTCTTACGAGGTCTTGATCAGATGTGAAAATGGAAATATAATGGGAGATGAAGATAATTGTTGGGGTCTGTAGAAAACAATGCATCGAAAGCATCGTAGAAAGGCTGTATTTAAAGTGCTTAACTTTGAAGTAGATCTGTTGGTTTTTTTTTTCAGCTCAGCAGTTAAACTGGTATATAATTTATTTTCCTTTCTTTAAATTTCCCACATTTGTTTACTCAATTTGAAATACATGGAAATTAATAAAATAAAGCAAAGCTATAGACACTTTGATATAGCATTCTAGGAAAGTACCGCTCAAATAGAGTTGTTTGATTTTGTTTTGTTGTTTGGCTTGTTGGGTCATGCCTGCAGAATTGGTTTTGTTTACATCGTTTCATACCAAGGGGTATCAAATTATTTCACCTGTATGGGTAGGTAGCTTAGAATTTATGCTGTTGATAAAAGCCTCTCGGATCCCAGAGAATGGTCACTGGCAAAGTGAAATTAGACTTGTGCTTTTGTAAATTTCTCAGTAATCTGTGCTCTATTATAAGTAAGATCATTGTGGTCTTGACCGTGGACACCACAGACAATCCCATCATCCTCTGACTAATGTTTCTTGGCCTGTTCTTGACTTTTTAAGGGCAGTGTCATTGTGAAAAAGGATCTTGACAGACAATGTTTTCTTACATTTGCACTCCATTTCTGGAAGATTGATCGATGCCACTGTATGGCTGTGAAGATGCTGGCCAACATTGAGTACTTCATTGAAGTGAACCTGCTTTCATTGTGAGTGCAGACATCCAGGATGAGCAGGGAGGGCTGCCATTCTTAGCTTTCACCTACATCGGTGTGCACTTCTTTATTTGTCAGAAGAGTTTTAGGTAGTTCTGTTTCTTCTCTCCTCTTCCCCCATCCCTGTTTACAGCTTAAAAACTGTGAAACTATGTATGGCTGACATCAGTAAAGTGGTTCGTGCATTAGAGTTGATTCTGCTATTTCATGATTTATTTGGCTCATTTACACACTGGGTTATGATTTTTTTGAAACTGAACAATAATTCTTTATTTTTCTCATTTGGATAATCCATGAAGTAGTTGACATATTGTTTATTTTGCAAAGGGACAGTTGAGCACTTTTAAAAATAGCGCTTCTTCAAATGGGCTGATCTGCTTAATGAACCCTGCTTGCTTGTTTGCACACAGCTGGCTTTGTTCCTATCGGAGTCAGCAGTTTGAAGGCTGATATAATAACTCCACGAGGAGAAACTTTGATTTGAAATCAAGCTCAAAATCCAATTGCCTCTGAAAAGAAGCAATTCCCTCCAATTTCAATAAAGGTAAAACACCTGTTGCTGTTCAGTGTATTCACAATGCATCAAGGAGGCTTTTTCTATTGGCTAGATTCCAGCGACACCACACCACAGGAGTTATTGTGAGGACTGCGTTCTGTTTGACTGGACTGCAATCTCTCCATTAAGTTAATGCAGCTTAATTCACTTGCTGCAAAGTGAAATTACATCAGAGCCAAACCTCTTCAAAGGTAAAACGTTCAGCAAGTTAGCATGTAGGTGCAGTAAGTAATTAAGAAGGCAAATTAAATTTTGGCCTTTAAAAAGCAGGAACTCTTGTTATAAATGGACAGCATCTTAGTGAGGCGACACCTGGAGTACTGCATACAATTTTTGTTCCTGTATTTCAAGAGGATCCATTGGTATTATAGGCTGTTCAAAAGATATTAAGCGAAGAGGTCAACTTATCAAGAACAGCTAAACAGGTTAGGTATTATTCATTAGAGTTTAGAATAATTGTGCAGTGATCCTTTTGAAATGTGCAAGATTCTGAAGGGGCTTGATAGGGTAGATGATGTCAAGATGTTTCCACCAGCCAGAATATTTAAAATTGAACAAGGAAAGTTCTTCTCCCAGAGGGTAGTGAATGTCTGGTATTTCCTATCCCAGAGGGTAGTGGAGACTAGATCACAAAGTATTTACAGAGGAAGTAGATTATTTTAAATATTATGGAACTGACAGCTGTGCAAAGCTGGCAGGAGAGACGAGTTGAGGCTTTAGCGAAATCAGCCATGATCTTTTTGAATGATGGGGCAAGTTGGAGGAGCTGAATGGGTCAGTTGGAGAAATGGTTACTCCCATTTGTTAAGTTAATTTTTCACAGGTGATCTAACAGACAAACATACTCAACTGTGTTTGAGTATTTTCTCAGCAGGAATGATCAATTAAAGTGTGACAATGCTGTAGCTTTAAGAGGTGTATTTTGTCCTCGGTTTTTTTTGATGAAGAAAAGTTGAGACAGGTACCGAGCAGACTGCTCAAAATCAATAGAGTAAACCGCTTGTGAGGCTTTGGGTTTTTTAAGAAGTTGGAACAGTAGAAGCAGCCTGAATGGATGGGATCATTCTCCCACAGAACCAAGATTTTTAATTTTAGCTTTCTGCACTTGCTGGGATCTTGAAGCATATTGTGGAAACTCTTATTTCCCTCTCTTTTTCCAACCAAAAGCTGGGGTTCTCTTCCTGCCTCTAGAATTGCATGTGAGACAATGTATTTTACCAAATTTACCTTTGCCAAGGGTGTGTTTATGGGATGTTATTATATTCAACAGTTAATTTGTAGTAGTTATTTTATTTTTTGTTAAGCATTTTGATAGTTACAGTTAAGCCAATCTTTTATTTTTATTTTGTCTGTATTTTAACTGAAGTATAAAAATGGATTGTGTTTTGCTTAACGTGGAGTAGGTTGACTAATCCAATTGTATCTGGAATGCAATGCCTTACACTTACATTTTCTTGTTTTAAAAGGTTCGGGTCTAGACTATCTTCTGAATACATTTTGAGTGGGTTTAGTCTGGCCCATAACACCAGGTAGCAGCATCAGATTATTAGGCATGGATTAAATGCATCTTGATGTAGCAGTATTATTCATTTTGAAATGTAGGAATACATCTGTACATAAAATAAAATGCTAAAGCAGGCTGATTTCATTCAGTGTCTGATTGCAGAGTCAGATGAATGTGACTGCTGGATTTCTAGAAGGTGGGACTGCAGTACAGCTGAGTGCGTAGTTTATCTACCTATAATTAACCTGTCTGAGATCTCCCAGTTTAACTACGTTGGTTACCCATTGTGCGTTATTTTCTGCTGCTGAAGTATTGCATTAGTTTCTTGTTTTAGCTACCATTACTGGAAGACCAGTGTTGTGGCTGGTCTTTGAGCTCTTGCGTGCATACATAAACTTTAATACAAGATTGTGGGTAACTGGGGTTGAAATGTCTGGCTACAATTCGCTTTTCAGGTTTCGGTGATCTGAGTATCACAAAGATGATTTTGGTGTGGTTGATAGATGCAAATAAAAACAAAATTAAGTAGCAGGTGAAGACTAACATTGTTTTGTAAGCGCAAGTCATGCTGATAAGAGTCAGGCTGATTTTTAACTTCCTATGTTGGAGGAAAACTGCAGTTAAATTAGAGACACGTGGGTAAAGAAGGAGATAACAGTTCCACTGACAGGAGCATATGTGACCAGATGAGACAGATTGAAGGTAATTAGCACAAGACCCCAGGGAAGAGAAGTTTTTGTATGTAGCAAATTCTGATTCTGAATGCACTGTCGGAAAGGAAGAAAGCAGATTCAATTGTAGCTTTCGAAAATTATTTAGATAAATAAAGAAGGAGATGTATTTGTGGGAAACTGGTGATTAGAATTATTTGGATGCCGTATTGAAGTACCAGAATATGGAGGTGCAGGTGTTGGAATCGGGTGAACAAGGTCAGAAGCAACATGTTATAGTCCAACAGGTTTATTTGAAATCACAAGCTTTTGGAGCGTAGACTCTTTGTCAGGTGAAGTCAGAGAAGCACACAAAACGCAGAATTTAGGCCAGAGAGATCAAAAGATCGTTCAAGTGGTGTGGGTGGAGTGTCAAATAATAAGCCTCTGCAGGTGGTCAGAAGTGTCAGACAGTGTGAGTACAGTGTCAACAGCGGAATAAAAAATGAAGGGATGACCTATAATCTGATCAAATGAAGCGGAGAAATAATTACAAGAAATTAAAAATAAAAGTGGTACTGGAGACCAACCAAATGACTGGAACAACATGATCTGTATAAGAATCACATGCTGCGGGTCTAACCAAACTCGTAGTAATCCAAAACTGTACAAACTAATTAAGATAGAGGGATCGTAACAATTTATCAAGGTAATGGTGTCAAAGCAGGACAGTAAGGATGATTTTTATAGATACAGACATGTCGTGGGGGTCACATGTAGTGTGACATGAA